CAGCAGCAGCAGCAGCAGCAGCAGCAGCAGCAGCAGCAGCAGCAGCAGCAGCAGCAGCAGCAGCAGCAGCAGCAGCAGCAGCAGGGCTGACTCTGGACTTGGCCGAAAGCAGCAAAAGTGTCCTTGAGGTCCTTCTCTGAAGCTTCCCCAGAAAGGCCTCCGACAAAAATAGTTCTTTTTCTGTCGAATAAAGAAAAGCCAAAACGAGCAGCAGCATCAACTCGCAGCTCGCGGCCCCTGAACGGCAGCAGCTGCAGCAGCAGCAGCAGCAGCAGCAGCAGCAGCAGCGAACGCGGATAAGCAGCAGCAGCTAAACGGACACTCCCGTGCACTGCAGAAACACCTATGCAGCTGCTGCAGCAACAGCGGCAGCAGCTCCAGCAGCAGCAGGAATGGCAGCAACAACAGCAAGCAGCAACAGCAGCAGCAGCAGCAGCAAGAACAGCAGCAGCAGCAGCAGCAACAGCAGCAGCTGCAGCGGAGCTAAGGAGTCCCGTAGTCAGTCTCAGTACCTCTTTCTTCAAAATCCTTTTGAGCAAACTTTCATCTTTTAAAACTATATAGGCATTTTGGATGTCACAAGACTGCAAAGAGCAGCAGCAGCAGCAGCAGCAGCAGCAGCAGCAGCAACCTGTGGTGCAGCAGAGCAGCGCCAGCCTACAGTAGTGGCAGCAGCAGCAACAGCTGACACAGGAAGCAGCAGCAACCAGGCCTGGCAGCAGCAGCAGCAGCAAATGCGACAGCAGCACTCGCAGCAAGTGCAGCAGCAGCAATCGCAGCAGCAGCAGCAGTAGCAGCAGCAAGTGTAGCAGCAGCAGCAAGTGCACCAGCAGCAGGAGTAAAAATAGATGCAGCAGCAGCACCAGCAGCAGGATGGGTGGCAGCAGTATCAACAGCAGCAGCAAGCAGGGGAGAAGCAACAGCAGCAGCAGCAAGTCGGTCCGCAGCAGCGGTAGCAACAGCAGCAGCAAGCGAAGCAGCAGCAGCAGCAGCAGCAGCAGCAGCAGCAGCAGCAGCAGCAGCAGCAGCAGCAGTACACTGAATTGCTTCCTCGCAATGGCAGCGCGGCGGCAGTTCTGGAACTGAGCCGCCACAGGAACGGAGCGTAGCCTCATCTGCAGCAGCAAACAAGAGCAGCAGCAGCAGCAGCAGCAGCAGCAGCAGCAGCAGCAGCAGCAGCAGCAGCAGCAGCAGCAACTGCATTAAGAGCACGGCAGGAATGAAAAGGAGCGCCGAAAGGTGCAGAATCAGCAGCAGCAACAGTAGCAGCGGCAACGGCAGCAGAAGCAGCAGCAGCAGCAAACAGGAGCAGCAGCAACAGCAACAGCAGCAAACAAGAGCAGCAGCAGCAGCAGCAGCAACAGCAGCAACAGCAGCAGCAACAGCAGCAAACTCACGGATTCGACTTGGGACTTCTCGAGCCCGAGGTGTCTGTACAGCTCAGCAGGTTTGAACTGATCTCTAACTGGCAAATTTCCAATAAATAAAGTTCGTTTATTTTTTTCTTCTCGCGTTTCTGCTGCTGCTGCTGCTGCTGCTGTTGCTGCTGCTGCTGTTGCTGCTGCTGCTGCTGCTGCTGCTTGGGGTTCAGCGCTTGGTGTGTTCTCGGCAGAAGCGGCTGCTGCGTCATCGGCCTTCGTAGAACGCTTCCTCCTGCCTGCTGCTGCTGCTGCTGCTGCTGCTGCTGCTTTTGCTGCTGCTGCTTCTGCTTCTGCCGCTGCTGCTGCTTCTGCTTTTGCTGCTGCTGCTACGGCAGAGGCTAGAGCCTTCGCTCCCTTCTTTTGTCTGTGTGCTGCAGCAGCAGCAAACAGCAAATTGCAGCTTCGCTTATTCAAAGTATACAGCAGCAGCAGCAGCAGCAGCAGCAGCAGCAGCAGCAGCAGCAGACCAACGTGTACCTGAATTGTCAATAGCAGCGCTCTCTGCACGAGTTCCAGCCGCCGCTGCTGCGCTGTTGCTGCTGCTGCTGCTGCTGCTGCTGTCGCTGCTGCTGCTGCTGCTGCTGCTGCTGCTTCTCTGCGAAGCTTGGCCAAAAATGGCTCTTATTTTCTCAAGTCCTTCATCTTCTGCTGCTGGCATTTCTGTCTTTTGTTTTTTCTTTTTTGCTGCTGCGGTGTCGGCGGCTTCGCGTTTCTTCTTTTTGAGCTGCTGCGCTGCTGCGCTGCTGCAGCTGTCTGCTGCTGCTGCTGCTGCTGGTGCTGCTGTTGCTGCTGTTGCTGCTGCTGCAGACTGAAGGAGCGAAGTCAGAGTCCCCGGGGTGTACGGGGAGTTGGGCTGCTCCGCAGCTGCTGCATTTGCTGCAGCTGCTGCAGCGGCTGCAGCTGCTGCAGCTGCTGCATGCGGCTCCAGCCTTCTGGCCTTTTTCTTCAGCTTTTGTTTTTCCCCTTCTGGGGATTTAGTCTTCGCCATATTAGCAAATGTTTAGAAGACTTAAAAGAATAAAAAGGCAAAAAAGTGCTGCCAGATCTGCTGAGGCAGCTTCAAGTGTTCTGGGGGCCTCGTAGGCAGCAGCAGCAGCTCCGCGCCCGCGCCGCCGCTGCTGTCGATTCTGCAGCAAACCCAACAAATGGATTTAACTCGGAATTAAATTATTGAAATAAAATTGTAAAATAAACAAATTAGAAGGTTTACTTGCGCGGACATGCGAAAAGGTGGGGCGCCGAGAGCCCCCGCATGCTGGAACTTCTTCGCGGCCGCCGGAGCTCGGTTGCTGCGCGAGCTGAATGGGAGTTCTTCGAGAGAAAAAAGCCGCGATCCGCAAATCCGTGGAATTTAAATTCATTTTTAAGTGAAAATTCAAAGAAAAAGAAAAGAAATACTCCACTTTTGTGCACACATTCGAAATTTCAACTCCGCGCGACTGGGTGTCTTCCCGCCCCGGAAGCTCGGGTGTACGTACACCTGAACTTTTGCCGTGAAACTCTCCCCAAAACTCTGCTGTATGTGCACTGCAGCAGCCATTATATTTTAATTAAATACTGAAACATGACTAAGATGTTGCGAAACAAGCTTTAGAGTCCACGGTTTAGGGTTTAGGGTTTAGGGTTTAGGGTTTAGGGTTTAGGGTTTAGGTGGATTTCTGCACAAGAGGAGAGCGCCTTTAGTAGGCTGCCTGCCACTTTGATTTCAAATTGAAATCAAATTTAAAAAGTAAATTAGCAGCAGCAGCAAAGAGCAAATAGTCCCGAAATCTGTTGCTGCTGCCGCTGCAGCAGCAACACCGGGGAGTGTTGCTGCTGCTGCTGCGGCAGCAACCCCGAAGCGTGTAATGCTGCTGCTGCGGCAGCAACCCCGAAGCGTGTAGTGCTGCCGCTGCAACGCGGCCTGCTGCTGCTGCTGCTGCTGCTGCTGCTGCTGCTGCTGCTGCTGCTGCTGCTGCTCTACCAGCTTAAGTTGCTGCATGCTGCACGAGTCATTTCAATCCCATGCAGCTTCTCTGAAGTGTACATACACTCCATCAGTGCTGCACCTCGAAAATGCAACAAAGACAGTGGAAGTCCCCACACTGCACTCGAAGACGAGCTTACAGCAGCAGCAGCAGCAGCAGCAGCAGCAGCAGGAACAGCGGCAGCAGCAGCAGCAGCGAGTTGGGCCCTTCTCGGGATTCCGGTGATGCTGGAGGGGTGTTGCTGCTGTCATAAAGGCAGCAGAAGTGTCGCTGTGCTGCTGCACCATTGTTGTTTAGCAGATAGCTGCGAGGCTAAACCCCAAACCCTAAACCCTAAACCCTAAACCCTAAACCCTAAAGGCCACAGCCAACGCCCAAAGCCTCCAGCCACGCTTTTGGGGGTTTGAGAATGGCCCAAAAGCCTGAGGGGCCCTTTTGGTGTTTTTCTGGAAGGCTTTTTGAGCCTTTATTTCCACAAAGAGTTTTATTTCAATTTTGTTTATTAAATTAAATTAAATTCAGAAATAAACGAATTTGCTGCTGCAGCAGCAAAGCCAAAGCCACCACAGCAGCAGCACGAGGCTTTCTGCGGTGTCCGTGCAAACATCTTCGCAGGTTGTGCGCTGCTGCTGCTGCTGCTGCTGCTGCTGGTCTGCTGCAGCCAGCTCCTGCCTCACAAATGATTAAAATAAATAAAAAGAACTTATTAGAGTAAAAAGGAATTAATTAGAAATGATTAATTAGCATAAAAAGGAATAAAATGTGAGGAAATAAGCCGCTGCGGGCGACTGCGCTGCGCACTTCGTGCAGGTTTTCAAGTTGATCAGACAGACGCGAACTGCTCCGGCGCTTTTTGAGGCGGAATTTCGGGTGAATCTGAAGAAAATTAATATTTAAAAGTTTAATAATAACAAATAATAGATTTTAAAAGTTTAATAATAACAAATGATAGACTTTCACCCACTCGTGTTCGTCTGCAGTTCAAAAACCTCGCCAGGCAACGAGCATTCAACTTCGAGGCGGCTGCGTCGCGGGGAGCGGAGCGCGGGAAAGCGCGGGAAAATTCAGTTGTTTCATTTAATAAATAGTTCAAATTAAATTCAATTTGCAAAATTAGAACTGATTTTGGAGTTTGCAAGTTGGCGGATCGCAGCGAAGGGGTGCAGCGGGGGTTTTTGCAAGAGCGGGCTCGTCGCTGCTGAGCGCCCGGCCGCGCTGCTGTTTCCGCGCAAACTCGAAGAGAGAAAGGAAGGGATCAACTTAAAGAAACTTTAAAATGGTTTTTAAATCGGAAAAAGAAGCAAAAAAGGGGGTTTTTGATCTGTTTCGTGGCTCCCGACGGCGCGGCCTGGACGCCGCCGCAGACAGACCACTGGCGCGCCAGCCAGCGGCAGTGTCCACCGACGGGCGGCGGATCCGCGGGAAAGCGCCGTCATTTCTTACTTGTTGATGAAATTAAATTGAAATAAATAAAATCTGAATTGCTTTTGATGCGCCTGTCGCCTGTTGCTGCCGCGTCTCGCGCGGATCCTTCGCAGTTCTCGTGGCTCTGCTGACGCGCACACACAACTCAACACCGCTTCCCGAAACCCCACTCCTTCTGTGTCTCAGAAGACCTTCTTTTCTTTTAGCAGCAGCAACAAAGAAGCAGCAGCAAACGCGCAGCAGCGCGGACTCAATGAAATGCCGCACCTAGTACTGGCGTCGTTTGGGTTTGCCTTGGCAGCAGCAGCAGCAGCAGCACAGCACGGGTGTGCAGACGCCGCGGACTGCAGCAGCGCTTCCCCTCACGCGCTGCGAGGTTTGCTGCTCTCTCCGCACGCTTCTCAGCAGCAGCAGCAGCAGCAGACTCCGCTGCAGCAGACGCAGCAGCAGCAGCGCCGCGCAGCAGCTGCAGCAGCCCCTGAGCTGTCAGGGCCCTTCCCTTCGAGCCACACGCCCTAATGGAAAACACTAGACCCTCATGTGCCAACTTAATGGACCTTGAGAGGCAGCAGGAGGGCCCCGAGGAGCAGCAGCAGCAGCAGAAGCAGCAGCAGCAGCAGCAGCAGCAGCAGCAGCCGGGGAATGCCGCCGGGGAGTCGCCCGCGCAGCTGCTGCCGCCGCCTGTGCAGCAGCTGCTGCTGCTGCAGCCCGTGCAGCAGCAGCTGGAGCAGCAGCAGCAGCAGCAGCAGCAGCAGCAGCAGCAGCGCAGCGAGGGGCCCTGGCGGCCGCGGCAGCAGCAGCTGACTGTGCAGTCGCTGCCCATGCCCTGCAAGGGGCCCCTGCAGGGCCAGGGGCCCCTCGAGCTGGTCCAGGGGCCCCACGAAGTGCTGCTGCAGCCGCAGGGTTTGGAGGAGGGGGCCCCCCTGGTGGGGGGTTTGTTGGGGCCCCCCGCGCCTTCGGGCTTCCCGCTGCTGCAGCAGCTGCAGCAGCAGCAGCAGCAGCTGCAGGAGGAAGCAGCAACTCTTGCTGACGGCATTGCCCCCTTGCCTATTGTACCCTTACCCACCTTCGTGGGGGTACCCCTTCCTGTGGCAGTGGAGGCCCCCAGAAGCCCGGGGGGCCCCCCCGATTCTGTTTCCCTCACAGTGCTGCAGCACCCCCCCGAGGGGGGCCCCCCTCCCCGCGGTGAGTGGCCCTTCTCGAAACCCTAAACCCTTTAAAAGGGTTTGCGCGACACGCTGCAGCCCTCTCGCGGGCTCCGCAGGTCGCAGCGTTTACCCCGGGTCTAGGGTTTAGGGTTTAGGGTTTAGGGTTTAGGGTTTGGGGTGTGGGTGTGGCGCTCAGAGGGAGTGCTGCAGCAGAGCCCGCAGCAAGCAGCAGGCGAAGCAGCAGCCCATTTTGCTGCTGCTGCTCCCCCGACATTTTTCCTTGGGGGCCCCGAGGGGGGCCCCCCTGTGTCTCCTCTTTGCATTTCTGAACAGCTGGGGGTTTTGGATTCAGCAGCAGCATCTCCTGCTGCAGCACCAGCTTCGGCCTCGGCCAGCCTTCCGGGGCCTGCAGCAGCAGCAGCAGCAGCAGCAGCAGCAGCAGCACCGCCCTGCATGCGCTCCTGCGTCAGCGCCATCAGCGGCCAGGCCTACGAGGACTTGGGGCCCCTGGGGGCCCCCCTGGGGGCCCCCACTGTAGCTCAGGGGGCCCTTTACTGCGGCCGCAGTCCCCAGGGGCCCCTGCCCTCTTCTCTTGTCTTCCTCCCGGGGGCCCCGGGGGCCCCGAGGGGCCCCTGGGGCCCCTGGGGCCCCTGGGGCCCCTGGGGCCCCTGGGGGCCCTAGGCCCGGGCCGGCTGGGGCTGCTTTCTGGCAGTGCTGCAGCAAAGGGGGCCCGCAGCCAACATGTGTGGAATAGTGGCTTCTTGGGGGCCCCCGGGGGCCTCGCGGGGGGCCCCCAGACCCCC